TCTGATACAACTAACATTGATAATTAAAGTATCTTAAAAACTGATTTTGAGATACGTCGTCTTGAGGCATTGTTAGTTGCAAAAACAATTGGTTCCATAAGTAAATGGTAAGTACTGCTGAAGACTCTATAGATATAAGTCAATGAGAGATGGATTTTACTCTAACTTCGAAACTCCTTTTTTTCATTTATTATCCAGTGAGGAACTGAAAAATCGAAAGAAATTTCGAAGATACATTTATATTGGCCAAAAATTTGGAAAAAAGAGGATGGTCAAATCAAAAGAAAAAAGAAATAAATTACTTTTTTGCATTAACTTCAGAAAAGAAACGAAAATTTAAAGAGACTGAAGGAGCTGGAAAAAAGTTAGAGCAGAAAGTATGACGGAGAGAAAAAAAATACTTAAAAAGATTTTTTTAAAAAAAAGCTTCAGAAAATATGGGGGACAAGAGTAAACAAAAAAGTTATCTAATTATAATAATAAAAAAACATTATCGGATTACACAATGATAAACATTCATGATTTAGAATCGGACTATTAAACTGAGAGAAAAAAAAAGCAAAAGCAATTTTTCTTAATTCTGCATTCAACCATATTTTACTTTCTATTCCATGACTGAAAAAAAAAGTAAAATTTCCCACGTTAACTGTGATTATATGTTGTGATTATATGTTGTAATTCCAAGAAAAATCTTGTTTTCAGACATTTGTGCGGCCTATGGATTCCTAACGAGCATCAAACATTCTCAAAATTTAGTGTTCATTCATTGGAAAATTTAGTATTTATTCACTAGTAAGAGCTGTTCCTTCACTTGGTTATCTTACTACTTATTATTTAAACCACCAAAAGCTTAAAACAATTTTATGTAAGTGATCTAATTTTTTTTACATAATTTGTATTTAATAACAAATATGTCGACACTATCATTTAGCTAAAATTACAAATTTAGAAATTTTTATGATTTTTTTTAAAGGCAAGCTAAGCTTAATTGTCCCTTCACTAGTTAGTTTACCCTAGTAAGGTACACAATTTTTTACACCATTTTAATGATTGTAGGATTATATGGCAAGAAGCAAAATCTGACGAAATCGGTCGAATAGTTTCTGAAAAATCGAAATTTAAAAATAAGATTTTTCTCCAAAATTCAATTTTTCAGAAACTATTCCGCAGATTTTGCTCAAATTTTATATTAAGCAATGAAAAATTGAACTTTTAAATTACTTAAAAAAGTGTATACCTTGCAATTCAAATTTTTTTTGACAATAATTTAATAAAACACAGTAAAAAATAATAAATATTTACACAAAGTTCTTTGAACTCAAAGTAATTTTTAGGAATTAGTTTTGGATAAACGAATTTGATTGCCGTTGGTCATGAAGTTCTGGTGCCTTAATCCCCATGACTCCCTGGGCTTGGCTGTACCTTACTTTGCTTTTTTATCATTGTGTGCAAAAAAAACCTTTCAAGTCGCTAAAAAAGTTCGATATATGTTACTTAATCAAAAAATAAAATGAACTCTAATGGGTTCAAACTTTGGGAATCTTTCGTCACCAAGCTATTGAAACCATATTTCACAGACTGCAGCTAGGATTTTAGGAGAAAGTCGTACCCCGCAGAAATCATGTTCATTCAGAAAAAGTACATTTTTGTGTTAGATTTCGCAACTTAACTTAATTAATTCGTTACTTAATTTTGTGTTACATTTCGTGCCAATTAAAAATTGTTTCGACCATTATTAAATAAAATAATGAAAAATAATAAACGTTCCCTAAAAGAAAAATTTCACGGAATTATCTTTAGAAAAGCGAATTTTATAATTGTGTGAAAAATTTTTCAATTAGCTCAAAAAGTTCTCGAGCTATAGCAAAATTCGCAAAAAGTAAAATTAATGTTAAGGTGTCCAAATTTTGGAGCGCTCTCGTAGCGGATGAAGCGGATTCGTATGTATGTTTATTCAGAGTAAAAAACTGTATAGTATGAAGAAAAATGCATGCTTATTCAGAGAAAGTGCGTTTTTGAGTCTTATTTCCCAACTTTCTGGTTACTTATTGCTTTCTTCTGGCAAGTGCCCTTTTCTGGGAGGAAAGCTTCTTCCCCTTTTTTATTTATAGGTAGAATTTTGCAACATGGTCTAAATACATAACAGAATCCGCCATGACTCGTGAAAGTTTTCAATCATTATCAATGTCTTAATCATTATCAATAACTCTTAACTTAAAGACATTTATAAAAGACATCTTCTTAAGCTTAAAGACATTTATAAAAGACATCTTCTTAAACTTGAAGACATTTATAAAAGACATCTTCTTAAACTTAAAGACATTTATAAAAGACATCTTCTTAAGCTTGAAGACATTTATAAAAGACATCTTCTTAAACTTAAAAACATTTATAAAATTTTCTCTGCGTATTCCTTAAGGAAATTTAATTTTAATAAACTGCTGTTTGTAGAAAATGCAACACCATGAAGGAATCATCAGAATCAAATGAAATATTATTTTAATAATGGATATAGGATATTATGCAAATTAATAAAGTTTCAGAGCCATCGCGCGTGCGTGGCGCGCGCAGCGCCCTCTGAATTGATGCTGAAAGCGTATAAATAAAGTGCTGTAGCGGGACGTTGAAAATAGTCTATGATTATTTGTTAGTGGCAAACGTTTAGTGAGACCTGAGTATGCCTCCACGACGGAAGAATAAGAAATTCAAGCAACTTACGGAGTTTGAACGAGGGAGGATAATCGGCCTTCGAGAAGGAGGATTTTCCTATCGCGCAATAGCAGCTCGTATGCAGCGGAACAGTTCCACAGTGATGCGAGTTTGGAAGCAGTGGACCGACGAGCACCGAACAACTCGAAAAACAGGCACTGGACGACAGAAGGTGACGTCAGAGCGCGATGATCGACACCTGCTCCGCATGGCGGTGAATGATCGCACAGCTTCCTCCAGGCAGCTGGCAGCACATTGGTCTACTGCTACAGGTGTACAATTGTCGGCTTCGTCAATTCGTCGTCGTCTGCTGCGCCGTGGATTGCGTGCAAGGGTGCCATTATACAGGATTCCCCTCACGGCGGATCATCGACGGCTGCGTCGGCAGTGGGCTCTTGAGCACAGAGACTGGCGAGCTGATTGGCACCAAGTTGTCTTTTCAGATGAATCACGCTTCAATTTGTGGACCCATGATGGCCGTGTTCGTGTTAGACGTTATGCCGGTCAACGCTGCCTTCCTGAGTGTATTATTGAACGACATAGTGGTCGAACACCCGGAGTTATGGTCTGGGGTGCGATTTCGTATCATGGACGATCCAATTTGATACGAATTGAGGGTAATCTCAATAGCAACAGATACGTCCGTGAAGTGCTACAGCCCGAAGTCGTTCCTTTCCTTCAAGGCATCCCTGGAGCTATCTTTCAGCAGGATAATGCACGCCCACATGTTGCGCGGACTGTTAGAGACTTCTGTTCAGCACAACGCATGCAACTTCTTCCTTGGCCTGCTTATTCGCCGGATATGTCGCCTATTGAGCACGTGTGGGATATGGTTGGTCGGCGTCTCACTCGTGATCCGCGTCCTGCAGTTTCCAAAGACGAACTTTGGTTGCGCATACAAGCGATATGGAATTCTCTTCCTCAAGCAGATATTCAACATCTGTTTGACTCCATGCCACGTCGTATAGCAGCACTTATTGCAGCGCGTGGTGGCTGCACCAAATACTGATTTCGGACGCTTAATTTGTTTCTTTTGTTTTGAAAATTTCATCATTTATTTGTATCAGTACAAGTCGTTTCTGCATTAAATTTCATTTGATTCTGATGATTCTTTCATGGTGTTGCATTTTCTACAAACAGTAGTTTATCTTTTTTTTTGTGATACCACGAAAGGCATTATATATTCCTCAACTTTTAAAATTTCTTAAATTTATTTTTTTTAATCATTCTTAATCGAATCTCGATTAAATTATTCCAATTATTTTATTTTTCTCACATTTTATAAAAAAAACTAATATAAATATTTTATTCTTTTCTTAGCAGTCAATGTAATGGTCAACTTTTCATTTCAATACAAATGTAAAACTCATTCATTCACTGTCGCGACTAAATATCTATTTATAACTCTTTGTTCTTTATATCTTACCACAAAAATGTTTCAGTTACATGGTTATACTAATTCTCATCAGTCTTTCTGGCGATTAGCTTTCGCCAAATTATTTTCAAATTTAATTTTGATAATGGGGGGAGAGGGGAGGCTTTATTTTTGGCTATTTAATCTTTCGATAAATCGCAAACCCCTTCCCATGCTCCTGACTGCCCGTTGGGAGCAATTCCCTTAATGTAAATTTTCAATTCTTGGCGATCGGCCAACCGTTGAATTTATAATTTAATAGAAATTCTAGATGGTAAAAGAATGATTTTCGTGATCCCTTTAAGGGACTTTCTTTTCTTTATTTTATAATTTAGGAATGTATCCATGTTCATTATAATAAGATTTACATAATAAATCAATTTTACCTGAACCATTTTATTTATTTTTTTGCGATGAATATACCTTTTTAGTTACAAAAGTATTTCACACGCCAAGAATTCTACTTAAATTCTAAAAAGAAACTACATCCACTATACAGTGAAGAATTTGGATTATACTGCTATGAAAATTCTAAAAAATAAAAAAAAAGTAAATAAATAAATAATACGAGTTCCTGTTAACGAATTTTTTACGGACTATAATTCAAGTTGATCTAGTAAAAAAGTATGCGAACATGAAAATCCGAGAGCAACAACTATTTTCCCAACGTATAAATATAATGTAGGAAAAGTATTTTATTTGTAAAGAAAAAGTATTTATATTTATTATTGTTAAACATATTCTCATTGGAAAAAAAATTTATTTCAACTTCCAGAGGACAACAAATTTTGAAAATGACTCATACATGATATATGAAAATGACCGCATGATGCACTTTCAAAGAAAAATAGCTATAAATAAATAAAACTTTACTTACTTCACATTTAAGCCGAATGCTCATTTTATGTTAGTTTCCATTTTATGTAGAAAAGCCAGACTAAAATTGCAACCAATATAAACGGCGTAAGGATCATTTGTAGCTGATGAAAGATGCAGTGCGTTACGTCATATTGAGATAAGGCGCTTTGACAATTCGAACAAAACAGTTTCACTTTCACATTCTATCATTTCTACGACATAATTCTTCTTCAAAATGAACACGCGGAATCTTTATTGGGTATTTCAACCTCTTAATCGAGCAGTTAAAACCTTTTATCGCACCAACTCTGTCCTGAAGTATAATAATTAACTTTTGATTTGTTAATAATAGTAATTAATCTATTAGACTTAAAATTGGAAATAGCAATAGAGGGACTTAATAAAAGCATTCTTATATTTTCGTAACTAAAAGCTAATATGTTAAAATTAAAAAAAACGTAAAAAATTAGCAGAAACTTTTTATTACTTTAAAAATATTTTTATCTTTCTGATTATTTAATATCTTTCTGACAATTTCGTAACGAATTTATTATTAACGTTTGATTCGTTAATAATAGTAATTAATAATAACTAACTCAGTGGCGCGACAGCCCATTAAGAGGGCCAAGGCCGACTGTGCCCATCTCAGTTTTCTTGACCTTGGGCTCTGGGGTGCATGAGCATATGTTCCGGTCAGGTGGTCAGCCGAACGCGGAACCCCCAGTGTTAGTTCCCAAGCATGCTTGGTACTCATTTTATCGACCCACTGAAGGGATGAAAGGCTGAATTAATAATAGTAATAGTAATCTATTCGACTTAAAGTTGGAAATAGCAGTAAAGGTACTTAATAAAAGCTTGCCGATATTTTTGTAAGTAAAAACTAATATGTTAAATTAAAAATTTTAAAAAAACGTAAAATATTAGTAGAAATTTTTTATCAATTTAAAAATATTTTTCTTTTTCTGACAATTTTTTAACGAATTTATTAACTTTGGATTTGTTAATAATAGTAATTAATCTATTGGACCTAAAAATGGAAATAGCAACACAGATACTTAATAAAAGCTTTCCAATAATTTTGCAAGTAAAAGTTAATGTGTTAAAATTTAAAAAAAACGTAAGAAATTAGAAACTTTTTGTTAATTTAAAAAAAATTTACATTTTCTGATAGTGTTTTAAAGAACTTATTTTTTGGAGTTCAGTAATTTCCTTGCTACAAAAAGTTCTTATTACTACAGAATGCTGTTAACTGTTAAATCCTGCGTCCTTATTGTTTATTTACTTTATTTTAAAGCAATTTTTCAAGAACAATGCTGTGATAGCTCAAAGATTAAAGGCATTGAACTATCGTTCTGAAGGGTCAGGGTTCGATTTGAAGCTTATTCAGTATTAGATCTATGTGTACCAGCTTGTTCGAAAAGAAAAGGATGCCTCTGCACAGTTGTCTGTTTTCAAATTTTTTGATAAATATTTTTGCTTTTGCGTAATTTATGTTTTTTAAAAAAAAATTCCGCATCATTCAAATTGCTTTTCAATGGCTTAAACTGCAATTTAAGCTATTGAAATTTTAAAAAAAAATTTAAAAAAAAAGACAAATGTATAGTTTTAAATTACTTACTCGTAACCACAAAACACATAATTTTATAATTTTGTATTTTTCCAAAACCTATCAAGAACTATTTCTTCTATTTTAAGTAAGTAATCCCTTTATTTTTAATCTTTGCTGAAAGGTATTATGCTGTCAAATGATAATCTAGCATCAATACTTTTTTCAGTACAAAAAAAACATAAAGAAAAGGGTAATGGAAAAATTAACCGGACTAGGAGACTAAGCTCCCTGTTCGCTGCAATTGTTTCGCAATAATTGCTGCTTCTTGGCATAAAACAGTTGAAATTATTAAATTAAAAATATATGTACTAAAAAGAACACTTGTACCTCCACTTCCCTACGTCCAAATATTTCCATTATGATACTATTAAGATCGATAAGTGAACATAAAACATTTTTCTAAGTAATCATTTTTTGAAATGACATTTAAAGTTAAAAGTATGTATATTGTAATAATAAATTTGGAGAGTTCACAACTGGAATTTAACATTTTTACTTACCAAACAGGCGGATGTATGTTTTAAATACAGCTTTTGGATTCATCACTTAGTGCATGAAGTTGAAAGTTAAGTTCTAAATCATTAAACGAATCTCTTTAACCGTAATTAATGTAATTTGCACCAAAAAATAATCATTGTAAAAAGTTTAATACGATCAAACACCGACTTAAATAACTTAATCTTAAAATGTAATTTAGAATTACATTATTCTAATAATAATAATAAAACAATCCTCCTCCCTCTTAATTTAGAAATCAAACAAAATCAAAAACGTAATATTAACAGTACAGGTAATTTTAACCTTTAAATTAGGGAAACAAAAATATTTATAGAAAAACAATAACCTTAAGACTTATATCAATTTTATGCTGATGACAACCGAATCAATATGAAAATTAATGAGTAAAACTAGATCCTACCATGTGATTTTCGATTTTCTAACCAATAAAAATGTATTGACAACAATGGAAAACTGCGACACCATCATTAGATTTTTATGTATAGTAAGAAATTCCAGATGGCGAAGGAAGAGGCTTTTTAATATGTAACCCGATCAGGACCGTGATCACAGGTGAGCAATCACGCGATTCTCCCTCAGCGGCTCACACTTTCATATATGAAACAAGCCTTTCTTATTTCAGCGGCCTAAGAAATCACTTGTACGTTGTCTCGGTACTTTCGTACTTGTAGGTAGTATATCTAGTACATGTAAACCAGGGGCTTCCTCCAATCTCCGGTCATAAGGGGGTTAAAAATCTTCAGTTTATTATTTTCCTAGCCAATAAGAAGGGCTGTGCGATATATCGCGATTTATCGATTTAACGCATACATCGTCATGCCGACATAACACCTTTCGTTTTCTACCAAGCATCGGAATTTAGATTTAAGCAGCCGATATAAGAAGATGCTCGCGATTTAACATGCATCTTTTCTGACGTACACTAATAGCTATATCGTGATGTTTAAGAGACGATATATCATGATATAAAATTTCCTATAACGCCCTGTCCTACAAATAAGAATGCAAGGACAGTGATGACAACCAATTTTAGACAACTATTATTTTATGTTAGACAGAAAAACATATCTGTATATTTGTTATTTAGATATTAAGGTTATTTTATTTGTTGACGAATAACTTACATAAAATAAGTTCACACAGTTCATAAAATAGTCACAATTAGTCATAGTCATCAAAATCAGAAACATTCACAATCATATTATTGTCTTACTTCAGTTCATCATTCGAAACGACGGGCTTTTGTGATTGGCCAGAAAACAGTTGTTGACAACCGAGAAGATGAAATACTCTATTTAAAGCATCACACAAACGCTTTATGCGTAATTAAAGTAAGAATGCATTTAATAAATTAATAATTAATCCATTAAATGTTACTTACATTTTTGTTAAGATGATTATCATTTTATTTGGTAAATTTAATAAAGCGCAAAATGACACACCGGATATGAACTTTAGTAGCTGATAAGATATTATAAATGAGATAAAGTGATAACGTAAAGAAATGAAATCGAATAAAAGAGTTTCAATTTTTTATTTTATCTATCATGTGAAATAAATCGTTTTTCTAGCTCATTTCATATCTATTTCTGTAGAATCCTTATTTGTACTTCCTAAAAATTGCTCACACTACGACTACATCTATACTAGGCATACCTGATCCATCTACTTACGAGGACTATATTTTTATCTACTTACGTGGGCTATATTTGGATCCATCTACTTATGAGGGATATATTTTGATCCATCTACTTATGAGGAATATAATTTGTCCATTACTTATGAGGGCTATATTTTGATATACGCATCTAGGCATGCTTGATCCTTCTACTTACGAGTGCTATATTTTGATCCATCTATTTATGAGGACTATAATTAGATCTATGCATCTAGGCACGCCTAATCCTACTATTTGCGAGGACTAAGTTTTTATCTATGCATCTAGGCATGCCTGATTCATCTACTTACTAGAGCTATATTCTGATCCATCTACTTATGAGGTCTACATTTTATATCCATTTACTTATGAAGGATATCTTTTGATCCATCTACTTGTGAGGGCTATATTTTGAACTATCTCTTTATGAGAGAGATATTTTTCTGCAAGATACAAGCAAAAAGAGTATTTTCTCGATTTAGAACTAAAATTGCAGTGGGTTGTAATTTTCGTTTACATGTCGAACTCACATTTAGTTATAAAAAAAATCCTTATGAAAGATGTGGTAGAAATTTTAAATTTAAATTACGTGAATATTTTATTTATTAAGCTACTAATTGGATAAATACCAAAAATGGCCGTCAGCACTTATTACAAAACTTAGTATGGTTAAAATATGTTGGTAGGCATGCAAGTCTTGCTTATCCAAGATACAGGGGTTGAACAAAATTAATGAAAACAATAACTCTATCCAAACAATATTTCGTTTAGCTGCAAATGTTTTGGCAAGTTTAACGTGAGAAAACTGTTCGTACAATTTGAAAGATCATTCACGTCTGGTAAGACTTGAAAATGGGCTCCTGCTTTTGAGTACTTGAAACATGTCGACTGTTATTTCTAATTTGTATCATTTCTGAAGCAAATGAAGTTTTTAATTAAGTAATGTCATGCTCAACGCTTTTAGGAAAGAGTGCCTTTTTTTCCCATGCAAAAAATACATCGTTACCAAGGTGCTCCACTCGGAGGTTGATTTACTTTGTAGCCCTTTTGACCGTTGAAGAGGGAAATACAATAATACAAAATTGATGAAATGAACAAAAATATGTAAATCATCGTTTTTGTAGCAAAAACATTAATTTTTCGTTAATCATCGTAGCTATCAGGAGAATAGAGAAAATTAAAAAAGAATTGATTTTATTATTTTATCATAATGCATTTTTCAAAATATTATTTAAAAAGGTTACTTTCCTTTCCATCTTGGAGTTTAGGTTAAGTTTTGGATTTTCTTCTTATCTATGTTTTTTTCTTTATTTAATTTATTTTGG